TAGGCTAGCTCAACTCAGTCAGAAGTTATTTAGATGTTAAGGTTATGATAGAACATGATTAAAAAGCATAGTGGTACATTTTTAGTGCATAGTATAGATTTAGATATAGGTAAATGGTTAGGGCTAGAACCACAATCTAGCCATTTTTGAAATTATTAGTTAGGGCTAGAACCACAAGCCAGCCGTTGTGTAAATAGACTATATAAGCAGGCCTTTTTGCCCCCCTCAGTTCAAGTTCCTCATGCAATCCCAGCATCAACATATATCTCACTTTGAGATTTCAACCCATTCATAGGGGTGGTCTCAAACAAGTATCTCCTCATCACACAGTCTGGCCAGCTGGTGATCATCATCATCAACCCCCCCCCCCCCCTTCTTCAACACCTGTGATCTTAATCAGGTTCTTAAATAGCTTGTCTCATAGCACTTCATATATATCAATTGATCTAGGTCTGATAGAGACAACTACATAAAGGTTTCTCTATAAAGGTTTTGGCACATCAATATATAAATTTTTGTTTTCAGAATTCTTGTGTAGTACAATAGAGGGACAGGTCTTTCAAACCACCCGTAACAATATATATCAAACAAGCACAATATCATATTTGTTATTTCCCCCTCACAGGACTACCACCATTCCCAAAGGAGTTCTCACAGGGTGAGTAAGCTAAATTTACTCCCCCAAACTGAAACTACAGCTACCACTGGGGGTGCTAAATTGGAAGTTATACTAACCGTAGTTTTTACCATGCCAGTTAGTAAACTCCCCAACCCAATGGTTTCACAGGGCAATCTTGGTGAAATCCTAATCCTCCTCCCCTATTGGGCAGCAATCAAATGTGAGCGCTTGCTAACCCCTTATGGAGATGAGCACTGAGTATGCAGATTGCATCCCAAATAATCAGGATACAATCTTTAATCTCTCAAGCTCAACACCCCAATCACAAAGCAGACAGCTGAAGCTTGCCACAAATTCAGCACAATCAAGCTGATGATTTTGCTGGCTAGTCAATTTGCTCCAGTCACAACCTGGACAGCTCTTACTTGGAGCAACGGTGGGCCAGCTACACTAACCGTAGCGTTAGTGTAGCGTAGTGTAGCTAAAATAAGCTAACATGTAGCGTAGTGTTAGCGCAAATCTGAAAATTTGCACTAACACTACGCACGCAGGGCGCCAGTGGGTGTTAGCTGTTAGCGTAGTGTTAGCTTTATTTCACTCATCCACACTAACACTACACCCATGGGGCACAAAAAAGCGTCCGCTACACCAAGCTACAGCGCTTTTTAGCGGTTTTTTGGCTTTTTTTGCCGCTAACAGCCCTGTAGCGTAGCGTGACGCAGCGTAGTGGCTGTAGCGGTGCACTAACACTACCCAAAAAAAGGTGTGTTGTTAGCGCCGCTAACAGTTAGCGTAGAGTAGTGGGCTGTAGCGCAAACTAACACTACACAAAAAAAGGTTGCTGCAACAGCAGCTACGCTAACGCTAAATGGCCATTTAGCGTAGCGTAGCGTAGCGGCCCACCGTTGCTTGGAGCTTGGAGGGATTTGGGGAAGTTGAACCTCCTTCTTTGAGGGCTTTTGGTATCCGCAAGCCAGTACACGGTTTGTTCTGAGCCTCTGTTGCAAACCACAATACCTGCAAAACAACTCACCAATCAACGACTGGGAACAGCTTGCAGTATGTATTTAAAATTTTCCTGTTCCTGGGGGTGAAGGTTGGCAAACTGCCGGAACCAAGCTCTCTGCATGGGCTGCCAGAAGGCCAGGCCTTCCTTGTCTTGCAGATTTATTGGCTCAGTGTCATTAGCCTCATCTTCTGGGACCTTTCACAACTCCATGTAAACTTATTTCACCTTGGATCAAGTAAATATGTAAATGCACTTTCTCTTGACGTAAAATTATTAATTCAATTTCCTAGCAACCATGATCTGCCAGTGTTATGCATAGGGCAGCAAGCACCTAGATTCAGGCTTTCTAAAATGTTCATCATTGTGTTTGTCACAGTGGGAAAGGGGGGGGCTGGTTTGGTATAGAGATGGTTGCGTTGGATCTGGATATCCGCGCGGATGCGGATATCCGCTGAAAATTTCAGCGGAATCAGGAATCCGCATCCGCATCCGCATCCGCTTGTGGGTATCCGCTGGCGCTGGCGGGTATGCGCGCGGATATCCGCGGATACCCGCCCTCTTACTGGTTGACGCCGGGGAGGGGAATTTTTTTTTTACAAAAAACAAGAAAAGAAAAATGACTGGCCCCCCTCGGCCTAGAGAGGAGAGGCCACGCCGCCGGGAGGAATCCCTCCCGGCGAGCTGGTGCAGTGTGTACATACCAGCTTGTCGGGAGGGGTTCCTCCCGGCGAGCTGGATTTCAAACCAGGTCGTCAGGAGGAGTCCGACTCCCTCCCGACAAGAGCACCAGCTTGTCGGAAGGAATCCCTTCCGACGAGCTGGTCTTTGTACCAGCTCGCCGGGAGGGACTCCTCCTGACGAGCTGGTTTAAAATCCGGCTTGCCGGGAGGGATTCCTCCTAACAAGAGCACCAGGATTCCTTCTGACGAGCTGTCTGGGTACCACCTTGCCGGAGAACCCTCTCGACAGTTGGCTGTGACCAGCTTGTTGATGACTCTCCACGCAGTTG